AGAATTTTCCCACAATCATATGAGTTGAGCTGACGCTTCCATTGAATTTCACATAAGCTTGCTTTACCAAAAGTTGTTCCCATCCAGGCTGAAGTGGACTGCAGTTTCGACATCGCTTCGGTCTTATCAACATCCTCAGCTCTACTCATTCATTGTGGGAAAATTATTTTTCTACCAGTCTTTCATCAGCTTAAACGAAATCGGGTGAATACATGTCATATAACTGATTTACTGGTAGTCACGAAAAGAATACTTCATTCGAAAAATGAAATCAGTCAACCGGAAATTCAATGGAAATCTCAGCTCAACTCATATGATTGTGGGAAAATTCTTCTTCTACCAGTTCTTCATCACTTTAAACGAAATTGGGTGAATACATTTCATACTATTGATTTACTGGTAGTCACGAAAAGAATACTTAATCAGGAAATATAAGACCAAGCTGCGGAAACAAGGTCAACGAAAGGAGACTGCGACCAAACTAAAAGCGACAACCCCTTGTCCTTCGTGCTTTCTATTAGAAAATTATTGTTTAAGAATTACTGACAGTTTTGATGAACATACGCGACATATAATTAGTGTTATATGCGAAGTATTCAGCTTAGTTTGTTTAAGGTGATGACGTAATAATTGAATTCAATTAATGTCGACCGAGGCAGTTTCGATGTTGGCCAGTCATTTGTGACATATTTTCTGTATGTAAGTAGAGTCTAGAGACTATCAGTAAATCAGTAGTATGAGATGTATTTACCCAATTTCGTTTAAGCTGATAAAGGACTGGTAGCACAATTTGCCCATAATGCTATGAGGAGAGCTGACATTTCCATTCCATTTCACACAGCATTGCTTTCCCAAAAGTTGTTCTCATCCCGGCTGGAGTGGGAAAGCAAGGCTGTGTGAAATGGAATGGAAACATCAGCTCTACTCATATGATTGTGGGATAATTTTTCTTCTACCAGTCCTTCATCACCTTGAACGAAATTGGGTAAATACATGTCATATTTCATTTAGGTTGAGATGGTCAAAGAGACAAACTCGTGTGGTATGATGTTGTAATTTTTTTTCTGAAAAGCTGAATGAAAAAGCGTTCATATTTTCCATTTTATTACGAATAAATCAGTATGCATTTTTAAGGCATTCAACTTGGAATGGTACCAGGCAAGACAAATTCACTTCATTGTCGGCTTGACGCTTGAGATAAAAGCTGCTATTACTTTTGTTCACATTGAGCAGATTGTCAAGCTACTAGTTTATGTGAAATCGAACTGTATTCACCCTCGATCGTGTAAGCTTGATGATACACAACAAAAAAAGTATTCCAAAAGTATGCAAATCGGGTAGTTTGGCCCAATCTTCGCCGATGGCACAAAGTATCTTGAAGACCGGTGCTCGAGAAGGAATACCACTTTGCATCAACTCCCCGTGCAAGTGGTACATTGTCCGATGCTCAACCGTCTTCCTTGGTGCTTCTTGTCGGACTTAGCAACGGGATACAATTCATCAAGGTGCCATGTCGACGCTGTTTATGATGCCAGTTGCATGTCATTGAATGCGTCAGCGCACGCACAACTGACAACCTCCCACCAGGTCAACATCATCATCATCATCATCACTTTGAACAAAATAAGCTTATTTAGATTTGCCTACAACATTTGTTTGATCGTTTACTTTCGTGAATGTTGATTGGAGCTGTTGGGTGAAGCGATTTCTTGACTCGTTAGCTTGAATTTGGTCGTGACGATGACACCTTGCTATGATGAGCTTCGTCACATGATGGACATCATCAGAGCGAGGTACCATCATCACAACAAAATTGAAGCTGACGAGTCGAGAAAACTCAACGACAAATCCCAAAAAAGTGGAATGTCTACTCTACATCTGGCCTCGTTGATCAATTATTAAGTGATTTGATTAGTTAAGGTCATACATCAACTTCGATGCCTGTGAGTGTGTCTGTCTCTGTATGCTCTGATGAGCTTCGTCATATGACGAACGAAAACTTAGTACCTTTTCATCGGAATCGAAGCAGATTGCCTCGGAAACAGCGTCAGCCAATCGTCTTCTGATGGAACCGACCTTCGAATCTTTTCACTCGACAATTGTGAAACAAGAGACTCCTCGAAAGCCAACTTTTTTCGTACATACTTTCGTGAAACCGGTTGCTTGGGCAACATGCACAAATTGGCCCTCCTGAAGCGGGAAGAATGGGCATGCTGGTTTATTCCTCGACGTACCAGTTTGCAATCCCAACGTTTTGATAAAAGCATGAAATGTCCAATTGAGTTAATTAATTACAGCAATCCCCACATAAAGCACTTATTCCACACTGCCAGTCCCAACGTGAGTGTGTCAGTTGTTCACAGAAAATGCCGACCTATTTTGGATGTTTGGCAAATCCTTCCGACAATAATTCCGTCTTAATCTTAATTTTGACGTCAACTGTTGGAATGCTGATGGAATTTCAGCCAACTTCTGTGCATCACCAACTAGGTAAACACACCTGTCCACCTACCCACTACACACACAATCACACACACACACACACACACAAAGTGGACAAGTGGTGGACAACTTGCGCTTTGTTGGACTGACCATGCCAGACTTGAACCCTCTCACGCCTGAGGTTCCTTTAATCAAGTCTTAATGTCGGCTCGTATTCGGCTCAAGCATGTCTGCAAGTAAGCCGGCCACACTGAATGAGATTACGCACACACACACACACACACATGAAAGGTATTCTTCTTTGGATGAGCTATTTCAGAGAAGACCCATTAAGGAGTGAATCACTTCGGTCAGAATGGACCGACTAAATCACAAAAATGCACAAAAACGGTCGGACCGACCGACCAACATGCTTGGAGAGCGACAGCCACGGACAAACGCACACACACAAAACACAACACACAACACACAAGCATATCCTGGTTTTGCGGACCCGGATCCGCAGAGGAATGCAAGCTTGCCAATGTGTGTATGTGTGTGTCTGTATGTGTCTGTTAGTGTGTGTGTATGTGTGTGTGTGTGTGTGTGTGTGTGTGGAGGGGAGGCATGTCATCATAAGTGGAAGTGCACCTGCACAGGAGAACCAGCTCGTCAAATTTGATGATCACAGACGCTTAATGGCCCATAATCCAACTTTGTCTCGGGCGCCTGGTCTGCTCATCGACAGACCGACAAACCGACATACCGACAGACCGACAGACCGACAGACTGGCCGAATGAGGTATCATGTATGTGGTCATCCACCGGACACTGGTCCTGTGCGGGGGCATGCGACACGGGCATAAAATGAGAAGCCTGACAATGGGCTATTACGTAATGTCTTGGCGCGATCGCGATGAGTTCCGACTGTGGAAGGGTATGGAAGGGGGTGCAAGGGGGTGCAAGGGGATGGGGTGAGAGAGTGAATGTGACAGAGTGCAAGGTGTGGGGCCGAGAGAGAGAGAGCCGATGGCGAGGTCACAGAGCGCAATCGTCCTAGCCATTCGAGATTGTCGCGGCAAAGTGGTACAGGCTCGTTAATCAGCACAATTGACGCTCGTGCGCAGCCTTCCACACGTCGGCCTGGAGCATGCGGGAACATTACCGATTGAGACGCCAGACAAAAAATAATTGGCATCGCTTAATGAGTTCTCCGCGTTTACAACCGACAGTTTAATTAAGATCACGTTAAAAAGTTACCCGAGAACCGGGCGCCCCGATTCAACCATGCAACCGCGTAAGACACACATTCACACACACACACACACACACACACACACACACACAC